AACCACCAAGGCTAAGGGACACTCCTCTCACTCACGGCTACATTTTTCTCCCACACACAACACTAGAAAACCGGGTAGCACATATAGGACAAGGGAATGGGCTTTTAGGTTTAAGCAACAAGAGGCCCAATAGATGAGCAACGAACGAGTGGGCTATCAACTAAAAGCCTTCCAAGGTAATGAGCCGAGCCATGAGCAACACTAAACAAATTAGACTACTTCAAATGACCCACTTAGGGTGTTGGGATGGTACGTTCATTGTGGTGTCGATATTCCACTTCAATCATCGGCCGAGGCCTCTCAAGACTAATCCAACATAAACGGTTTAACATCATCGCTCGAATTTATTGGGTATCAAAAACCCAACAGAATCTCTTAGATCAAACAATTTAATTTATCAGGTAGAGACTCAACTAAATCAAGAAATCAACATTTTCTTGTGCAAAATAATCGAAGTTTTAAACGGTAAACCTTTTAAAAATTCGTACATAGATTTCAATCAAATCAATTTGGTCAAGAGTGTGCATTTTGAATAAGCCAATAAGTCCCTTGTGTGGGAGAGGTTATTTGAAAAGCGATTTTATTTATTTATTGTATTTTAACGTGTGATTTAAAATGGACGTTTTCAAAAAAATTTCACACAAGCACTTAGCATGTTTGGCAAAACTTAAATTAAAAAGTAAAACTTATTTTTTATTATTTTGTTTAAACATATTTAGATAATTTACTTTTCTTATTATTTAAAAATGAACGTTTATTTTACTACTAAAATATGTAACTTGCTATTTTAACTAGATTAAAAAATAATTATTTTAAAATTTATTTTTGTTTTTAAAAAATAGATTTGAGGGATGACTTTAAAATCAAACTTAACAAACTTATCAAAATTGGACAGAGTAACAGAAAGAAATTTGAATAACAAACACCCCCAAAATTTGGACAAAGTAACACCGAGGAAATTAATGCAAAGTCGAAGCATGAGTTGGACTCTTTGTTCTTATGTCGATATTGCCCCGCAAATGTACCTATTGATGATGGCAATTAACTCCCAAAATATAACTAACTGCCTTCTTGTGATTGTAGCACTTCAAAATATGAGAACAACGAATCAAAAATATAGCTTTTGTATTCCTTTCCAATAAATTGAAAATAGATTTTTATGCATAATTTTATCTAAGAAAATATGATTTATATATTATGCCACGAGTGCATATCATTGGAATGGGTTATAAGACATTCAAAGTGTCTTATTTATAAAGGAGGAGAGATTGTGAGTGAACAGACGAGCCTCAAAATTCAGCAGCATTTGCCAAGGATCACAGTCTTTGCTATCACTCGTGCGTCGCTCGAACGCCAAAAGCAGAGAGTTTGTCGCTCGCCTATCGCTTGAGCAATAGTCTTAACTCTCGTGTGCTGGAGTTAAAAAAGTTTCTGAGCAACTTTTTCATCTTTTCTTTTCAACTTTAGACCCCAATTTTCATTCATTTGAAATTGATTTTGAGATTCCAAATATATCATAACAATCTACTCGATGGATAAAAATAAGTTAATCTATTTATTTTTATAAATTGACTATTAGATCAAGTCGGAAAATTTGATCGAAATTGACACGAAAGTCACTTTTTCATAATTTTATGTCTAACCA